CGCCGCCCTCGTCCCGTGTCAGCGCACCTGGAGTGCGGAGCCCAAATCCCGGGACAAAGGCTGCCCCGAGTCCCCAGGACGGCCCTCCCCTTGGCCCCGGACCAGCAGCCAGCCCAGGAGAGCTCTCCCCGCCGCAGAGCTGAGGTGGAGACCGCCTGGCATTAACCACTTCGCTGCTGGAGAGGCGGCTCCGCCTGGGAGACCTCACCCACGGGGTGCCCCGTGGAGCTCATGACAAGCCCAGCCTGCACCTCAGCCGCTGGGGAGACAGCGAGGAGGACGGCCCGGGACAGAGGAGCCGCTGAAGTCTCGGGCCCCCCCAGACATCCCTGCCCCAGACCTTCGTGCTGCAAGGTGAAGCACAGGCCAGGCCTGCCAGCCTGCACCCCGCTGTCACCTGGCTCTGCCATACCCCGCACTGCCCCACTGCAGGCAGGGGCAGAAAGGACCTGGCAGGTGGGGGGGACCTGTCCCCACAGTCATGGCCCGCGGCCAGCGTCCTGTGTGTCCCCGTGGGCAGGGGCCTGTCTCCACAGCCATCCACACGGCACCCGTCCCCACAGCTAGAGATTCACCTTCCCCATGGCCAGAGCCCCATCCCCACAGGCAGGGCCCCCTCCCCCTGGGGCAGTGCAGGCAGCGGTGCAGGCAGCAGTGCAGGCAACAGTACAGGCAGCAGTACAGGCAGTGGTGCAGGCAGCGGTGCAGGCAGTGGTGCAGGCAGCAGTACAGGCAGTGGTACAGGCAGGCCGGGGTGCAGCCTCTGTTGCAGGCAGTGGCTGCTGCTGCCTTCCCGCTCCCACGTGTCCCGCAGGAAGCGCCAAGCTCCCACCCTGGGCTGGCCAGGAAAGCAACCCGGACATCCGAGGCCAGCACAGGCATCACTTTCACTTTGCATTGCTCTGCTGGACCGGTGCAGGCAGAGCTGTGCAGGCAGGGCTGGCAGGGCTGCCCTCAGGCCGTGCCCGGGGCAGGTAGGCAGAAGGAGCAGCGGGCTCTGTGCAGCTACGAGGAAGGAGGGGTGCTCCCAGCACAGGTAAGGGGGAGGCTGGCAGGGACCGCGGCCACCCTTTCCCTGAGGGCAGGGCAGGAGGGAGCCTTTGCCCCTGTCCTTTCCCAGGATGGAGCTGACGGCCTGGGTTCAGCCCCGCTCTGGGACGGGTGTTGCTCTTCTGCCAGCCAAGGGGCAGGGTCATGATCTCCAGACCTGGCTGCTCCATGTCCTGGGGGGGGGTTTAGGGGATGTGCGGTTCCCAAGCTGTTGGGAGAAGGGGACCCTGGGAGGAGCTGGAGAGACATGGCAGAGGCTGCCCTTGCAAAGACCATTCCTGCCTGCAGCCTGGCGTAGAGATGCAGACGCGCCTGCTTAGGACGGTAGGCTGGAGCTCGGTGGCCATCCTGGGGGTGCTGGGGGTGGCCGTCTTCCTCCTGATCCTGACCCTGGCGAAGGAGGCTGCCCTTCCTCCGAGGAACAAAGTAGGTGCCCGGTGGGACCTGGGGAATGACCACCAGCCCCTTTCCACCCCTTATCCATCCATCAGCCCTGCCTTCTCTCCATTTGCAAGTCTTCCCATGACAAGCCAAGCTTTTCTGGGCTTAACCTAATCAGTGCAGCATTGGACAGATCAGCCACCCCCACCTTAAGCCACAGTCCTGGCTCCTTGTAAAGGAAGGGAGAGAGAAGAGCAGCCTTCTTTCTGGGGCTGCTGTTTGCCACCCCAGAGCACTTTTCTCTGTTTTCAGACATCCAGATCATGTGGTGGGTTTACATCTCTCTCTCATGTAGCTTTCTGATGGCTTTTGCAGACTCTAAAAAAAATAGGGTTTGTGAGATTTGACACTTGTGAGGTCTGTGAGCAGCTTTGGCAGCCTGAGCCCTCGGGAACATGTCTGAATTCCTCCCTGCTCTGCAAATCACCCTGCTGACCTGCACATCTCCCCTTTCTGAGCTTTAACTCACTTGAATGATTAAATCGGGGGGGATTAATGGTTGGGTGGGGCTGCTAAAGGGAAGATGGACATGCAAACCTGACTACTTGTGTTCATGCACAGGCAGTGAGAGCAGAAGCTCTCAGAAACTCCTTGGTGCAGCCCCAAGCCTGCTGTGACCCCCTGTTCCCTCTCCTCCCCCCCAGTACGGTCTGGTGTTTGATGCTGGCTCCACGCACACAGCTCTCTACATCTACCAGTGGCCCGCAGACAAGGAGAACGGCACTGGCATCGTGTCCCAGGTGGACGCCTGCACTGTGCCTGGTGAGTGTGCCGTGACATGCTCGTCCCTCTCTCCCAGACAACAGGATCACTGCCCCAGACTCTCACAGCATCGTTGGTGATCTGAGTCTTTCAGCCTGTGCTGGGCCAAAGCGAGATTGGTCTGGTGGAAGAACAAAAGTAAAGTGTTAGGGAAGATAGTTTGCACCTCAGGGAGCCCTACAGTAATTGAGGGGACCCAAAGGTGGGTAAGGAATTTGGCTCCCAGTTAGCACAGTTCCTGGAGCCAGTCCAGTCTAGCAGCATCAACTCGCACCTTGGGATGTTGGATGTGCAGAGTTTGCTCCTTCTCCAGTGCAACTGCTTCCTTGGCTATTCTTCCTACAACATCTCTTCACAGCTTCTTTCATAATATGCAGCTTTATGTTCCCACAGGGCCTCCTAAAATCTCTGAAGAAGTCCCTAAAGATTACTGAGTTTCTGCTGTATTTCTGTATGTGGTTCCTAACTGCTCTTTGGGTCAGCAGTTTTCATTTTGGTATCTGTACGGCACCAAACACAATAGAGTTTTGGACTGTGATTGGGATATCTGAGTATTGCCAAGGAGGTCCATAGAACTCCCTGGGCCTAGGGAATGACTGGAC